ATGAGGATCTAAATTGGGTTAATTCGCTCTTAATGACGGTTTCAATAAACGCTTCCAAGAGACTGAAGCTCTCTGTACGACATTGTAAGCTGCTGAACTATCTGAACTGGAACTTGGGAAGTGCTGAGATCGGCGACGAAGACGCCATCTGAGATCTTTATGCTCAGACAGCTCACTACCGAGCCATATGCACAAGGCCAAACACCAAGAACAAGGTGACCCGAAGACAACAGTAACAGAAGTTTAAAAACAGAACAAGTAAAAATGAATATATTCAAAACGACATCAAATCATTTCTTGAAGGCAAAAATGCCAGATTATGCTAGCAGTGCTAAATTTAGATAAAGGCTAAAAATTATGCTCTATTTGCTAAATTATGCCAAAAATCCTCTTCAACGATTAAATTTTATCTCATAGATATTGTTACCGGCGAACTTTCGCACGATAAATAGGTCCAAATTCGGTCCAAACAATTTACCATCACACTGCTCTCAGAATTACAACTTTCTTTTAATATCCTCAGCGGGTTACAGAAAGAAGAGTAAAACTAGGAAGTAGTACATGACAAAGAAATCGATGAGAAAACGAACCGTTGGCGAGTCGGCTTGTTTTAACGAAATATACGAAAATCTTACGACGGCACAATAAAAAAACAGAACGAAATTGAGCTACAAATTACCTTTTTCCAGCGACGAAGATAATGGACTGGTCGAAATCTAAAGGAATCTAAGGAAAGAGCTCCGTTGTAGGACAGGACTAGCAAGACAACTTTGACTGCTCTAAATCTGACGTTCGCATCACGTTTTGCAAAATACGTGTTTTTTGGGGACCGCGCGCTAGGAAGCTCGGGAAATTACCCACGTATCACTTGTGGCTTAGCGTGAGCTACAGTTATAGTAATGACAAATAATGACAGAGCTTTGTTGAATACATTATACACTCATGTTGTGAATCACTTGCCTGGATCACACCTGAGTCTTTGTCGTCGCCTTTTTTCCAGGTGCATTCTTTCCAGTTCATGTACGAGGAAAGCTGAGGCGATCCTGGAATTCCACTCTCACCTTTCTCCCCTCGCTGTCCCTTTTGCCCAGCGGGGCCCTGGGCTCCAGACTCTCCCTTATCTCCTTTCTTTCCTTCTGCGCCAGCTGGTCCCTGAAGTCCAATCTTTCCCGGGCTGCCCTGGTCTCCTTTGACTCCGTCACGTCCATCACGGCCAGGTGTCCCAGGGGAACCCGGCATGCCATGCATGCCGGGGATGCCATTTGTCCCTGGTTGTCCACCGTAACACATTGAGACCTGTGTCAGAGGAAAGATCAACACCTTAAGTTCTGCGAAGGTGCCAGCTATAATAAAATGACAGGAAGTGTCTTGATGTAAGTCCTCGTGAATTTAGTCAACAGCAAGGATCGATGTTTAGAAGCGATAATATCATCTGTACTTTTCTCGTTCTTCCTTTATTTCTTATTTTCCCCTATATTTAACTCACGCGCCAAAGAGGGAGCTACTCACATTGTTGTCACATGGTTTGCTGCTGACATTATTGGCGGTCGCAGAGGCCAGGGTTATCAGCACAAAAATCAGTAGGAACAACATGATCAGCAAGTTCTCTGTACGAGGTTTTCTCTTTGATATCGTTTAGCCTGTAGAGATTAATGTCAGAAAAGTAAAACAAGAATGGTCACGGCGACTCGTACAGTTCACACTATGCCTTCTAGAAAACTTCTTTAGTCAGTTATTCTACTGTTTCACAGTTTTCCGACATTTTCTTTTCTGATCGTTCTGAGTTAATATCAATGCTTGAAAATTAGCGCAGGAATGTTGCTGGAGGCCATGGAAATGAATAAAGTTCTTGATCTAATTACCAATAACAAAATAAAACTGTGACGCCTACGTTTATATCACTGTTTTTTATAGCACAAGAGATGCTGAGTACTAGTGACTGTCGAAAGTTGCTTTAGCTGTTGTGAGCGCTCAGTTTGGCTCCGTGTTGCTTTTCTTTCAGTCTTACAGGAGTGAAGCATTCTTCCATCTTAGACTTTGCAACATTAACTTAAAGGAAGTTGCAAAACAGAAAGTAAGAATTACGCTAGAAAGAAATGATTCTTCAATTTGTTTAAGTGATAACTAACCCAGACAAGCCAAAAATACAAATAAACTAAAAATGACTGTACAGCTTAGTCGATTAAGTGCCTACCTTCCACTGTGGCAGCAATCATTTGAATGAATATGATACTGCTATCAGTGTATTATTTTATCTTGTTAGCCGAAGATGGGGACTCCTGTTGAAACACGTTTACTAGCTAATTACGTGCAAACGTTCAGCAATCTGATTGGTTAGATCATTTCTAGACTGCCCAATGACACGGAATCTGACATTAATGTCAATTTGTTTTGTGTTGACAAGTTTCACGTTAAATGGTGTTTTAGAACTGTGTACGTGTTGTGAACCTAAACAAAAATTGTTTTCGAAAATATGAAATGCGCAACGACAAGGAGCCAACTTTCACCATATTTGAGTAACAGGCTCCTTGGAAATGCATCTTAAACGATTTAACTTTTGCCTAGAACGTTTTTAAATAAAGATAGCCGTTCTAATACGTTTAATGAGCAGACGGCGATAATCTGGGCTTCAGTGGATTTTTGAGGTTTTTGATCCAATTCTTGTTTTAAGGCGTTGGGACGTAATTCTTTTTTCTTGCTTTTATGACACTTGGACACATGAAAAAAAACTTTTTTAGTCATCTATTTACTATTGAAATATATCTGCTACACCGTCAGCTCATTGGCAGTCTTCTCTCGTCGCGTGAATGAACAAGGTTCCCTGTATAACTGACCAGTGACGAAAAGGCTGACGTTTTTGTCACTTTACACTTTCTTTTTTCCTCTAAGGATCCTCTTTGAAATAAAAAACCAACAGTATGCATTGATGGTAAGAACGTGCACAAATTATCCAGACAATGAATCTATCTAATTTAACTTACTTTCTAAACCGGCAAATCGCTACAAATCGAGTGTTTTGAAGGAGCGAGTAGGATAGCAAAAGGTAACCAACACTAAAAAAGTAACCTCGTGGAGACAGTTTTGATTTTCCCATGCGTTTGTTTATTAGTTATAACTTTATTTCTGTTTTCGAGTACTTTGATCAAATATCAAAAATGAAATCGTTATTCGACGATGAAGAAATTTTTATTAGGACAAGAATAAGAATCTATAGTTAAACACTTGCTCCGATCCTTTCCTAAATATTGTTAGGCATTCTCCTTCAGAGCCATGAAAACTAGTGATACAACATTGTCATAAAAAACATTGTTGAAAGACAACACGACTTCTTTGGGATAGATTTTATACACAGATTCTTCTTTTGCACAAAAAGGATATCGTCCAGCGAATATATTACAGCCAAATGATCAGTCAATGATTAAGCTGATGTCGCTTCACCTTGAAATATAAGTAGCGTCACTGATGCGAGTTTAGTCCCATTTTGTATCAAATGATATGAAAAACTTTTCAAGAAGCCTTGATACTAAGCTGATGAGCGCAACTGAAAAAAGAAGTCTCATTTGAAACCTGTAAAATTTGTTTAATCGTAGTTTTTGTATTTTTTGCTCCGCCAAGACGAAAGCTAAAAGATACAGATAATTTATATTACGCTGGTTTTGGAGAAATGAATTAAAAGCTAAAACATGATTGCTCTAGCGAGACGTGCAATGAATGCAGTCACTTACCTTTGAAGCAACTCAGTGCCAGTGTGTCGTCTGAATGGGACAAAAAGCTAAACAGGAAAGAGAAGAACGAGTGTTACATTGAACAATGTTAAAACAAGGAAAAAATCCAAACAATAATCAGCTTACATCTTAAACTTATACAGTCCTTTCTCCTAGCCGTTCAGAACTAAGATGAACTCCTTGTTTGTTAGTCGGGCAAAATTCGCTGCTTTGTTTGTCGGTGTGAGGTTCGCATAAGATCAAGTTTTGTGAAACGGCATGCAAAGAACAATTCTAATTTTCATTTAAACAAGCAAAGCTGTTCGCTAAAACTGTTTGCTTTCTGCTGTCTGTCCAGTGAGAAGACGTGTTATAATTTCAGTTGCATTTGCTCAATCACTTTATTTGTTTATAGTTCTTTTTTCACGAATGAGTGCGAGTTACAGTTGTTCCTGTTTTCCTTTTTTCGATGCAATTCCACAATAGTTTTTTTTTTCAGCCGAAACGCAACTCTACTCTGATAAAAAAATTCGGATAACAAAAAGAATCCTTTTTACACTCCGAAGTCAAGTCCTGATGAAATAATAAAAGGTTTTAACACATGCGCCTGAAATGAAACAAAGTCCAAATAGAGACTCTGGACAATTTTCTAATTTCTTCTGTTTGGCGTACGTCTGTTTTACTCTAAAATGAAATAAATTATCACAATTTGTAGGAAACGCAGTTCTTGTTCCAAAGTTTAAATTAAGATGAGTGTTTTATTATGAAGTACAACGTCTTTGTGTTTAATCTTGGCTCACTGAAGTGTACACAATGTTTCTCACAGAAGTTTGGCTCAAAAACTTGCGAATTTTGTTTCTGTTGAGTTTAGTGTACTTTACGATTAGATTGTTTTCTACGGGCTAAAATGAGACTGTCTGGTAATTGAATCGTAGTTTTGTACATCCGCACTATTTTTAAGGCCTCAATGAGGGCTCTGGGGGTTCTTTTCAATTTATTCTTCAGAATGTTTCTCAGCTATGAATCAATTTTGAAGATCTCAGATCTCGATCAGCTATCAGTTAATAAACACGTCATTTCTCTGCTAACAGTTAAAATTTACAAATGATCAATTCAACCTATATTGTTAAAGACAGCAAAAATGTGAACGGTAACGATAAGGTAACGAAGTGAATTTACAACGGAAAAATATTTATAACGGAAATATATTTTTCTTTTTAGACAAAACAATAACCTGACCACTCTAAAGATATCGAAGAGAACTAAAACATTTGAAATAAGTCTATTTATGAACATTACTTTAGTCTTCTTGATATATTTAAAATCGCATACTGCTAAATTATCCGTCGTTGATAGAACTCGCCAACTAATTTACCCAAAATCGCGTGATCTAATGTTTCAGTATATTTACCCTGGCTATAGTTTATGGTGTACGAGTTTAAAGTTTTTTTTCCATTTTCTCTAAATCTGGGGACGTACTTTTTTTGAAAAATTGGTGCATGCTTCTCAGTTGACACTAGATCATATACCTTTGAATAAACTCAGCCTCTGGGTCGTCTGAGCGTGTACACAAAGCTAAACAGTAGAGCAGAGAAATTAACGTTAGATTTAACATTAAAACCTTTGAGAAAATGTAAGAATATTCAATGCAATTGCAAACTTACATCGTTAAATTCTCCAAGCAAGAGATTAAACCCTGCAAGAAGTTCTCTTTCCTTGACTTACTGACTACACGGTTTGTTACTTCCTTTGTTTGTTTAGGAAAATTTTGGTCAGAACAAGTTTGTGAAACAATGGATTTGTTATGTACACTTATTTATCTTTCTAACAAAAAATGTTATTCTTTATTCATGTAGAACGATTTGTTTAGTCGTGGATTTGTCCAATAGGATGAAGGTTTTTATTCTGTCACCGTAGCTCCTGCTGTAATGCAATGTCAAACAAACCAAAGCGACGAATCNCTCTTAATGACGGTTTCAATAAACGCTTCCAAGAGACTGAAGCTCTCTGTACGACATTGTAAGCTGCTGAACTATCTGAACTGGAACTTGGGAAGTGCTGAGATCGGCGACGAAGACGCCATCTGAGATCTTTATGCTCAGACAGCTCACTACCGAGCCATATGCACAAGGCCAAAGACCAAGAACAAGGTGACCCGAAGACAACAGTAACAGAAGTTTAAAAACAGAACAAGTAAAAATGAATATATTCAAAACGACATCAAATCATTTCTTGAAGGCAAAAATGCCAGATTATGCTAGCAGTGCTAAATTTAGATAAAGGCTAAAAATTATGCTCGATTTGCTAAATTATGCCAAAAATCCTCTTCAACGATTAAATTTTATCTCATAGATATTGTTACCGGCGAACTTTCGCACGATAAATAGGTCCAAATTCGGTCCAAACAATTTACCATCACACTGCTCTCAGAATTACAACTTTCTTTTAATATCCTCAGCGGGTTACAGAAAGAAGAGTAAAACTAGGAAGTAGTACATGACAAAGAAATCGATGAGAAAACGAACCGTTGGCGAGTCGGCTTGTTTTAACGAAATATACGAAAATCTTACGACGGCACAATAAAAAAACAGAACGAAATTGAGCTACAAATTACCTTTTTCCAGCGACGAAGATAATGGACTGGTCGAAATCTAAAGGAATCTAAGGAAAGAGCTCCGTTGTAGGACAGGACTAGCAAGACAACTTTGACTGCTCTAAATCTGACGTTCGCATCACGTTTTGCAAAATACGTGTTTTTTGGGGACCGCGCGCTAGGAAGCTCGGGAAATTACCCACGTATCACTTGTGGCTTAGCGTGAGCTACAGTTATAGTAATGACAAATAATGACAGAGCTTTGTTGAATACATTATACACTCATGTTGTGAATCACTTGCCTGGATCACACCTGAGTCTTTGTCGTCGCCTTTTTTCCAGGTGCATTCTTTCCAGTTCATGTACGAGGAAAGCTGAGGCGATCCTGGAATTCCACTCTCACCTTTCTCCCCTCGCTGTCCCTTTTGCCCAGCGGGGCCCTGGGCTCCAGACTCTCCCTTATCTCCTTTCTTTCCTTCTGCGCCAGCTGGTCCCTGAAGTCCAATCTTTCCCGGGCTGCCCTGGTCTCCTTTGACTCCGTCACGTCCATCACGGCCAGGTGTCCCAGGGGAACCCGGCATGCCATGCATGCCGGGGATGCCATTTGTCCCTGGTTGTCCACCGTAACACATTGAGACCTGTGTCAGAGGAAAGATCAACACCTTAAGTTCTGCGAAGGTGCCAGCTATAATAAAATGACAGGAAGTGTCTTGATGTAAGTCCTCGTGAATTTAGTCAACAGCAAGGATCGATGTTTAGAAGCGATAATATCATCTGTACTTTTCTCGTTCTTCCTTTATTTCTTATTTTCCCCTATATTTAACTCACGCACCAAAGAGGGAGCTACTCACTTTGTTGTCACTTGGTTTGCTGCTGACATTATTGGCGGTCGCAGAAGCCAGGGTTATCAGCACAAAAATCAGTAGAAACAACATGATCAGCGAGTTCTCCATAAGAGGTGTTCCCTTTGATATCGTTTAGCCTGTTGAGATTAATGTCAGAAAAGTAAAACAAGAATGGTCACGGCGACTCGTACAGTTTACACTATGCCTTCTAGAAAACTTCTTTAGTCAGTTATTCTACTGTTTCACAGTTTTCCGACATTTTCTTTTCTGATCGTTCTGAGTTAATATCAATGCTTGAAAATTAGCGCAGGAATGTTGCTGGAGGCCATGGAAATGAATAAAGTTCTTGATCTAATTACCAATAACAAAATAAAACTGTGACGCCTACGTTTATATCACTGTTTTTTATAGCACAAGAGATGCTGAGTACTAGTGACTGTCGAAAGTTGCTTTAGCTGTTGTGAGCGCTCAGTTTGGCTCCGTGTTGCTTTTCTTTCAGTCTTACAGGAGTGAAGCATTCTTCCATCTTAGACTTTGCAACATTAACTTAAAGGAAGTTGCAAAACAGAAAGTAAGAATTACGCTAGAAAGAAATGATTCTTCAATTTGTTTAAGTGATAACTAACCCAGACAAGCCAAAAATACAAATAAACTAAAAATGACTGTACAGCTTAGTCGATTAAGTGCCTACCTTCCACTGTGGCAGCAATCATTTGAATGAATATGATACTGCTATCAGTGTATTATTTTATCTTGTTAGCCGAAGATGGGGACTCCTGTTGAAACACGTTTACTAGCTAATTACGTGCAAACGTTCAGCAATCTGATTGGTTAGATCATTTCTAGACTGCCCAATGACACGGAATCTGACATTAATGTCAATTTGTTTTGTGTTGACAAGTTTCACGTTAAATGGTGTTTTAGAACTGTGTACGTGTTGTGAACCTAAACAAAAATTGTTTTCGAAAATATGAAATGCGCAACGACAAGGAGCCAACTTTCACCATATTTGAGTAACAGGCTCCTTGGAAATGCATCTTAAACGATTTAACTTTTGCCTAGAACGTTTTTAAATAAAGATAGCCGTTCTAATACGTTTAATGAGCAGACGGCGATAATCTGGGCTTCAGTGGATTTTTGAGGTTTTTGATCCAATTCTTGTTTTAAGGCGTTGGGACGTAATTCTTTTTTCTTGCTTTTATGACACTTGGACACATGAAAAAAAACTTTTTTAGTCATCTATTTACTATTGAAATATATCTGCTACACCGTCAGCTCATTGGCAGTCTTCTCTCGTCGCGTGAATGAACAAGGTTCCCTGTATAACTGACCAGTGACGAAAAGGCTGACGTTTTTGTCACTTTACACTTTCTTTTTTCCTCTAAGGATCCTCTTTGAAATAAAAAACCAACAGTATGCATTGATGGTAAGAACGTGCACAAATTATCCAGACAATGAATCTATCTAATTTAACTTACTTTCTAAACCGGCAAATCGCTACAAATCGAGTGTTTTGAAGGAGCGAGTAGGATAGCAAAAGGTAACCAACACTAAAAAAGTAACCTCGTGGAGACAGTTTTGATTTTCCCATGCGTTTGTTTATTAGTTATAACTTTATTTCTGTTTTCGAGTACTTTGATCAAATATCAAAAATGAAATCGTTATTCGACGATGAAGAAATTTTTATTAGGACAAGAATAAGAATCTATAGTTAAACACTTGCTCCGATCCTTTCCTAAATATTGTTAGGCATTCTCCTTCAGAGCCATGAAAACTAGTGATACAACATTGTCATAAAAAACATTGTTGAAAGACAACACGACTTCTTTGGGATAGATTTTATACACAGATTCTTCTTTTGCACAAAAAGGATATCGTCCAGCGAATATATTACAGCCAAATGATCAGTCAATGATTAAGCTGATGTCGCTTCACCTTGAAATATAAGTAGCGTCACTGATGCGAGTTTAGTCCCATTTTGTATCAAATGATATGAAAAACTTTTCAAGAAGCCTTGATACTAAGCTGATGAGCGCAACTGAAAAAAGAAGTCTCATTTGAAACCTGTAAAATTTGTTTAATCGTAGTTTTTGTATTTTTTGCTCCGCCAAGACGAAAGCTAAAAGATACAGATAATTTATATTACGCTGGTTTTGGAGAAATGAATTAAAAGCTAAAACATGATTGCTCTAGCGAGACGTGCAATGAATGCAGTCACTTACCTTTGAAGCAACTCAGTGCCAGTGTGTCGTCTGAATGGGACAAAAAGCTAAACAGGAAAGAGAAGAACGAGTGTTACATTGAACAATGTTAAAACAAGGAAAAAATCCAAACAATAATCAGCTTACATCTTAAACTTATACAGTCCTTTCTCCTAGCCGTTCAGAACTAAGATGAACTCCTTGTTTGTTAGTCGGGCAAAATTCGCTGCTTTGTTTGTCGGTGTGAGGTTCGCATAAGATCAAGTTTTGTGAAACGGCATGCAAAGAACAATTCTAATTTTCATTTAAACAAGCAAAGCTGTTCGCTAAAACTGTTTGCTTTCTGCTGTCTGTCCAGTGAGAAGACGTGTTATAATTTCAGTTGCATTTGCTCAATCACTTTATTTGTTTATAGTTCTTTTTTCACGAATGAGTGCGAGTTACAGTTGTTCCTGTTTTCCTTTTTTCGATGCAATTCCACAATAGTTTTTTTTTTCAGCCGAAACGCAACTCTACTCTGATAAAAAAATTCGGATAACAAAAAGAATCCTTTTTACACTCCGAAGTCAAGTCCTGATGAAATAATAAAAGGTTTTAACACATGCGCCTGAAATGAAACAAAGTCCAAATAGAGACTCTGGACAATTTTCTAATTTCTTCTGTTTGGCGTACGTCTGTTTTACTCTAAAATGAAATAAATTATCACAATTTGTAGGAAACGCAGTTCTTGTTCCAAAGTTTAAATTAAGATGAGTGTTTTATTATGAAGTACAACGTCTTTGTGTTTAATCTTGGCTCACTGAAGTGTACACAATGTTTCTCACAGAAGTTTGGCTCAAAAACTTGCGAATTTTGTTTCTGTTGAGTTTAGTGTACTTTACGATTAGATTGTTTTCTACGGGCTAAAATGAGACTGTCTGGTAATTGAATCGTAGTTTTGTACATCCGCACTATTTTTAAGGCCTCAATGAGGGCTCTGGGGGTTCTTTTCAATTTATTCTTCAGAATGTTTCTCAGCTATGAATCAATTTTGAAGATCTCAGATCTCGATCAGCTATCAGTTAATAAACACGTCATTTCTCTGCTAACAGTTAAAATTTACAAATGATCAATTCAACCTATATTGTTAAAGACAGCAAAAATGTGAACGGTAACGATAAGGTAACGAAGTGAATTTACAACGGAAAAATATTTATAACGGATATATATTTTTCTCTTTAGACAAAACAATAACCTGACCACCCTAAAGATATTGAAAGAACATTTGAAGTGAGTCTATTTATGAACATTACTTTAGTCTTCTTGATAAATTTAAAATCTCATACTGCTAAATTATCCGTCGTTGATAGAACTCGCCAACTAATTTACTCAAAATCGAGTGATCTAATTTTTCAGTATGTTTACTCTGGCCATAGTTTATGGTGTACGAATTTAAAGTTTTTTTTTCCATTTTCTCTAAATCTGGTGACGTACGATTTTTGAAAAATTGGTGCATGTTTCTCAGTTAACACTACATCATTTACCTTTGAATAAACTCAGCCTCTGGGTCGTCTGAGCGTGAACACAAAGCTAAACAGTAGAACAGAGAAATTAACGTTAGATTTAACATTTTTTTAAAAACCTTTGAGAAAATTTAAGAATATTCAATAGAATTGCAAACTTACATCGTTAAATTCTCCAATTAAGAAACTTAATTCTCCAAGGAGTTCTCTTTCCTTGACTTACTGACCACACTGTTTGTTACTTCCTTTGTTTGTTTAGGAAAGTTTTCGTCAGAACAAGTTTGTGAAAGAATGGATTTGTTATGTACACTTATTTATCTTTTTAACAAAAAATGTTATTTGCTATTCATGTAGAACGGCTTGTTTAGTCGCGGATTTGTCCAATAGGATGAAGGTTTTTATTCTGTTACCTTAGCTCCTGCTGTAATGCAATGTCAAACAAACCAAAGCGATGGATCTCTTCTCCTCTTTTTGAATGATACGAAAA